GTAGTTCACAGAGAAGACGACGTTCTTCGAGCCATCGACGAAACCTTCACGGACGTTATCTTGCCACAGCATGCGAAACACCTCGCGGACACTGTGCGGCATGGATTTGCGCGCGTCGCAGACGCGGGTGGCCTGGCGGCGCGCCTCTCGCGAGGCTCACCGCGGATCAGCTTCGCCGCCGTCTTGGCCAGCTGCTTCTCCTCGTCGCTGGCACAGCGCTTCCTGCCCATCGCCACCGGCGGTGCCCGCGGCGCTGGGCCCGCCGCCGCCGATGCCCCGCTGCTGACGAGGGGCAAACGCTTCAGCAGCTCCCGCTGCTCGGCCCCATCGGGCGGCGGCAAGGGCGCTGGGCCTGGGGCCGCCGTCGCTGCTGAAGGCGGCGATGGCATCACCGCCGGCGGCGCCGGCGACGCGGCTGTCACCGACGGCGGCCTTGGCGCCGCGCCCCCGGGCCCGACGCCTGCGCCGCGGCGGCCGTCGCCGGCGTCGGCGGCGGCGTCAGCGGCTTAGGCTTAGCGGCCGCCGCGGCTACCTGCGGCGGCGACTGAGTGGCTGGCATCGGCGGCGGTGATTTCGTCGCCGGCGGTGGCGGCGACTTGGCGGCTGCCGGCCGATCATCGGCGGAATCGTCGAGGACCTCGACGGTCGTCTTGTCAACCACCGAGCGATGCGCCGCCTTGCCTATCACGCGCAAGGGAGTTGGCTGCTGTGTATCCTCCAAGACTAAGAAGTCGCGATGGTTGAACTGCGGTAGGGTATGGCCACCCTGGCCGTGGAACTGCAATGATGGAAACCCTCCTTGGGGATCCTCGGCGAGCTCTCTCTCCCGCGAGAGAATCAGTCAGGCCCTGATACTGAGAATCAGCCATGGCGAGACGAGTGGCTTCTTGTTCGTCAAAGGATCTACAGGTACACAGCAGTGCTAGCCTAGCCGAGACGCGATGCCTCGGCCAAAATGGGCTACGGAGGAGGAGGGAAGGAGGAGGGGGATGAAGGATGAGGAGGTGGCAGCCACGTCGGTTCAGTGTCATTGTGTCTGGTGCAAACATTGTTTTGGGAACGCATCGCGGGGCCCTCGGCGACGCGGTCTTGCAGGCGCAGTTTTGGGGGGGGGCCTCTCTGGGCGCAAGCACTGGGTAACTAGCACTCCCGAACCCTTCAAGTAGGGGGCCTCTGACGAGTGGAAGGCGCTCCCGACCCCCTCAGGTAGGGGGCGATGAGGGATTCATCGAAGAAGGCTCTGACTGGCAGAACCGATTTGCCGGCCAGCAAATCGGCTCTGCCAGTCAGGAGCGCCCCCGACCGGCATAACCGATTTGCTGGACCCCCTGGCGGCTGGCAGAAACGACGTGCTGAGCAGATGCCGTGCCCCAGCAAATCGTTTCTGCCAGTCAGGGGCGCCCCCGACTGGCAGAACCGACTTGCTGGCCAGCAAATCGGTTCTGCCAGTCGGAGCCTCTTCGGGGGCGCCCCCGACTGGCAGAAATCGGGTGCGCCCCCGACTGGCAGAAATCGGGGGCGCCCCCGACTGGCAGGCATCGGGCGCGCACGTCGGTGGCGCCCCCGACCGGCAGAAACCGACGGCCCCCGGCGCTCCCAGACAGCAGGAGGGCATCTTCAGGGAGACAGAAGGTCCGCGGCGGGGATCGGCAATAGGGAAGTGGACCTGGAGGAGGGGATGGAGGCAGGAGGAGCGGGAGGCGGGAGCTTAACGACGACGACGACGACGACGACGACGACGACGACGACGACGACGACGACGACGACGACGACGACGACGGCGGCGGCGGCGGCGGCGGCGGCGGCGGCGGCGGTGGCGACGGTGGCGGCGGCTGCGGCGGCGGTGGCAGCGGCGGCGACGACGACGACAACGTCGACGACGACGCGACGAGAAAAGCATGTTGCATTTTTTCTCATCCCCAGTCTGAGGCTCCTGAGGGCCTCCTAAACGTTTAAGCGCCAGTCGCCGCGTCGAGCCGCGCGAGCCCCCGCCGGCGGCGGTCAGGCGCATCTGAATTGCTGCGTAGCCTCCTAGCGCCGTCCACCAGCACTTCTCATAACGGCTTCTCGGCAGCCACGATCGCTGCCTTCAGTGTGCGCTAGATGACCGTCTTGGTAAAGCCGTTGCCAATCATGGAGCCCCGTGCCCAGTCTGAATGCGCGGAGAAATCCATGCCAGATATCTCGTCAGCGGCGAAGCCCTGCAGCCGCATCATCTCCTGACAACTCAGACGTTTCGCCGTCTGCAGGTCCATGTAGCTCCGGCCCTTGCACCTGGTCGCTGTGAGGCACGGTGAGTAGCCGACGCCCATGTTGAGTTTCGTGCTGCCCATATCTACGATCACGCCGTAGTCCGTCGCTGACTTGTTATCTTGAACGGCCTGGGCGTTGATGCGCTCCAAGGCTTTCGAGATGTGCCCCTGCACCATAGGGCTGAACATCTCCATGGGGTAGGCGCCGTAATCTACGACAGGCGGGCGCGGATGGTCGTAAATGATGTCCAAGCCCAGCGGTGCCACAGCCGATGGCCAGTCGAACTTCGTGGTAGCCTGGCCCATGCGCTTGATGGCCACGATATAAACACGTTCTCGATTTTGCGGCACGCATCCGACGTCGATCGAGTTGAGCTTGTCCATGTAGACCTCGTAGCACTGCCCCCCCGTTGCATTGTGTTTGATGGCCTTGATTTTCTTCGCGATGTTGTTCAACGTGGTCTTGTGCATGGGCTCCAGGCCCGGCGCGTTCTGCGGCGCGATCACCCGAGGCTGATGCTTATTGATGTTCAGGATGATGTGCTTCGCGACGGTGCCTCGTTTGTCATGTTCGCCCGGGCGCAGGCCAGCTGGGCTGAAGGGTTGGCGCGGGAATCCAGAGATCAGGATATCCACGCAGGGCGCGTTGTCCACGAAGCCCTTAGTGGCGTCAGGAAACTCTCGGTGAACAACGACGTTTGCCCGCAGCCATTCCTGGGCCTTCTTATCTTTTTCGCACCAGAACATGCGCTGAAACGCGCAGCCACGGATCGCCTCGAACGCCCAATGATCGGCCCCCATGCCCGAGCAGATCGAGCCGACGACGATGACGGGCGGCAGAGCGTAGTAGTTGGACCGAGACGCTTGACGAAAGCTCCTGGAACTGGTAGATGCAGCAGCCGCTGGCCTCTTCTTCTGAATGGTTCTCGTGGCCGACGGCTTGGGCTTCGCTGTGGGCGCGGCCTTGCGTTTCCCTGTCGGCGGGGGAGCGCCCATTGCGACTCCCCAATCCAAACCCACGTTGGCATTGAATTGTCTGCGGCCGAAACAACCCTGCGCACAGTTGGGCAAAAACAGCTGCAGCATGCTGCGTCAACCCAGAGACCCAACAACAGGATGGAGGACAGACGACGGCGACGACGACGACGACGACGACGACGAGAGTGGCGACGAGGAGGAGGGCGGAAGGGGGTGGGGGAAAGGGCCCGACATGAGGAAGTGGAGGAAGCAACTGGGGGGAGCACTGAAAGGGGCGGGATATGACAAGGAGCGCCCCCCCGTTTGGCCGGGCAACAACAGCAAATGGAATGGGGGAGGAGGGGGAGAAGGAGGAGGAGGAGGAGGAGGAGGGGGAGGAGGACGGGGCCCTCTCCTGGAAGGGCCCAGCTGCGCGGGGCACAGGCGGCCTGCGCAGCGAAGGCGAACTCGAAATAAGGGCCGTTGGCGCGCCCCTCCTTCTCCGCCCACCTCCCTCCTTCATCCTCCTCCCCCTCCTCATCATCACCATCATCGTTTCATGTCCTCACCTCCTCCTCATATCATCCTCATTTCCACATCTTCGCCCCGCTCCCTCACTCGCTCACTCGCTCATCATGTCTCCTCTCCTTCTCCTCCACATCCTCTTCCCGTCGAGGAGGGCCAAACAGGAGGGCGATCAAATTTTCCTCGAGCGGCGCGAGGCGGCCTCTGGCCGCGTTTTTTTTTGGTTGTTCAGGTTTACCTATTGGGATTAACCTTTTTCGGTATTTCAACCTAAATCGCAGCGCATGCGGGGCGCCGCACCCTATGGAACCACGGTTTCATCTGTGGACCCCCTTGCTACGCCGTCGCGCATCGCTGCCCCGAGATCATGCTGGGCAAAGGGGGGGGGGGGGGGGGGGGGGCTGCAGGAGGTCGAGGAGCTCCACCACCACCCTGCCTCCCGGGGGCAGGGGGGGCAGGAGGAGGAGGGGCAGCTGCGAGGAAGCGCCGGCGGACCACTCACGCATCCAGATTCGCAAGCTTCTCCGCGAGGGCACTCTGCAAGTCGCCCCCACCAGTCTCGGTTTTGCGTTCCTTTTCGGGCGAGGACGTGACTTTCTCCTCCTCGGACGGCGGTTTCGGGCCTGGCGTCGGTGCATCTTTCTCGTTGATGATATCGGACAAGTTTTGATCGAAGGGCGGGTGGCCAGGGGTGCGCGTCAGCTTCAGCATCGTGCTCTGAGGAGACTTTTCCATCTGAACCTTCAGGGCACAGCAAGCCCTCGTCGTCGTCCTCGTCGTCCTCGTCCTCGTCCTCGTCGACGTCGTCGTCGTCGTCGTTGTCTCGTTGTCGTCGTCGTCGTCCTCGTCGTCCTCGTCGTCCTCGTCGACGTCGTCGTTGTCGTCGTCGACGTCGACGTCGTCGTCGCCGTCGGCCCCATCGGTGAAAACAAAAAAAAAACTACCCCGTCCGCGCCGTCAGACCCAATCCATAGTTTCTTATCCATCACCCCACCATCGTAACTCATGGCGCAGACCCTACAACACTCAGCCCATGAGCCGCGGGGGGGGAGGAGGATGGGGGAGGAGGAGGGGGGGTGGAGGACAGGAAGATGGTTTATCTTACCGCTATACCTTCTGCGCCTCGGCGCAGCACACCCCGAAGCACGACGCGTCCTTGGTCAGCGAGTGCATCGCGTGCACCGCCTTGCAGCTCGCGAGGTCAATTTTGACCACGCCGTTCACGCCGTTGGTGACCTCGTCGTAGACGTTCGGGTTCATGCCATGCTAGTTGAACGGCGCCATGTCCTTGCCCTTCGGCCCAGAGTCTGCTTTGGCATCGTCGCCGGCGACTGCCCCTGCGGCCAGGGTCCACGCCGAACCGTACAATATTGGCTCATCGCTGTGCTTGGCCAGCCACGTGAGCGCATCGGTCTTCGCTGGCTTGTCGAACTTTCCAATCACGGGGTCTTTGTTGGTGCCCTCGCTGTGCAGCTTCTTCTTCTCGGGGAGATTGGAGGCCTTGCTGAACTGGCTAACGAACTCCATCGTGGGGAGCCCGTAGACGCCAGAGTAGTTGCCCTTAGTCTTATTCAAGGACTTCTCGGAGGTCTGCAGGGGGGGGATGCCCTTATCCTTCTTGAGCGCCTTTCCATCCTTGCTCTGGAAGGCCTTGCCGAACTTCGCGTCGTTGCCGTGAACTCCGCCGTCGAAGATGTTGTATATTACGTTCCAGGGCATTTCATATTTTGGCTGATCGTCGCGAAACAGGGCAGCCAGCCATCCTTTGATCATGCGGTCGTAGTGCTGGCCCCTGAAAGGATTAATGCGGAGATGCCCGCGACCATTCGGGTGCCCAGACAGCTCGGTGTCGTAGATGACCGCGATGTTCTGGTCGCTGCCAGGCGCCATATCGAGCCCTTTCCACCACGTTGAAAGCGCTTCCGCCACGCCTGTAGAGGAGCCAGGATCCACGATGAGCTTCACAACGCGGGTGTACCTGTTCCTCACGAAATCTGAGAACGGTTTCAGCAGATCCTGCACGTTGGGATCCGTGAGCTTGCTCTTGACCGGGTTCCCTGTGAACTCGCCCTCCTCGTCGGGGTCCACGAGGTCCTGCGCGGTAACGTCGGGGGCGGGGTCCTTCGGCGTCTCCCTCCGCCACGAGGGCAGCGTAGATGGCGTCCATCTTCTCCTTCAACGGGGACCTGTCGATAATCCCCCCCGCCGGCGAGCCCTGAATTTTTCGCCGCTGGATCTGCAAACCGAAATCCACATTGAAAAGGCAACCCCCGAGGACAGAAATGGCCAACTTAGCGGACTGTTGCATAGTGGTGCGCCAGGACACGTCCTTCTCACCAGCCTCGTGCCCGACCATCTTGCGGTAGGCGTCGTGCCCGATTGCCCATGCCTCCATCCGTTGGAGCGCCCCTGCGTTGAGACCCATCGCCCGAAATCTCGCGATGAAGGAGTGCCCGAGCTCGTTCTTGGCAATCAGCAGGTCTAGCAATCCTTTCCCCCATGGGGGTCCCCGACCAGTCAGCTGGCGAAGGCTGACTTCACCCGCCGTTGTCATCTTGGAGATCCAAGTCCAGCAGCCCAGCCGTGCACCAGTGGATCAGGCTACCCGATTGCGCCCTCTTCACCACTGCCTCGCACTTGTAAATGCTGTCGAAAGGCGCCGCCCCAGTGGAGTCGGCCTCAACCGCGATATTCTGTGCATTGGGGTTGTTCATGAGCCTGGCCCCCACAGTAAAGCAAGCGTCAACGCACGTGTCCAAAATCTTCTGAGCTCGGTGCCATGGAGACCGTCTCGGCCCACATCTTGGCCGTTTTCGCCGCGCCCACTTCATGCCCGAGCGAGGTCTCGATCACCTCCTTGCTCTCCATGACGTCGAAGAATCTCTGCGTTGCCGCGCGCTTGACCGCGTCGCCCATGCCGGCAATGCTCTCGCGCAACCCATGGGCCGCCCAGTACGAGTCCATTTCTGGGAGACGTGACGAACACACATCACGCGCAAACAAATAACAAGCCCTGGGCAAAGCTGCATCTAGTTTGCATTTTCACTCGATGCTTCAAGTATCCAAAACAACATTAAACAACACAAAAACCTGATATCCAATACATGTGAAGACATCTACAGAGGGCATGTGGGGGCAAGGCCGCCCGCGATGCACGAGCGCATTCGGGTGGGGCATCGCTGCCCCGGCGGCCCTCCGTCGACGACGTTGAAGGTGACTGGGAAGGTGAGCAGCGCGCGCTTCAGCATGGCCACCTGCTCCGGCGCGGGGCCGGTCTCGAGAAGCTTGGCCGATCCGAGGATGGCGGCCCAGATGATCTCGGGAGGGGAGGCCGTCACCAAGCTGCCGGAAATATCCGCGATGGATGCGGCAGGGTCCGCGATGCTGACCGTCGCCGTGGACGTCGAGGGGGAACTACCCTTGAATCCGTTCTGGTAGACCACGTCGATCAGAGAGTTCAGCTTGTTGAGATTCGCGTGGGCCCGTTTCGCGGGGTTCCCGTGCAAGTCCAAATGGGAGATGTCGAAGCCCACTGGGCCGTGCGTCTTAGATGTCGTCAGGCACACCTGGCTGGCATCGTTATCGAAGGGCGCGATCGTTGACGTCAGGCTGATCTCCATCTGATCGCGCGAAGGCAGCGGCAGCGGAAGGCTTGTGCCAACGTTGCCCATGTCCTGGTGGCCCACGATCATCTGCTTGGCCTTCGTGACGCGGGTCATCAGAGTGTCGTTCATGCTTTGCGTGGCTCCTCTTGAGCTGCTGGCAGTCGCACCGGGGGCCTGCCTGGACTGGGACCGCGCCGAGGAAGGCGACGACCCCTCGTCCGCGATAGCAGAACTCTCGATGCTGCCAAACCCGACTGCGACAGCCTGGGCCGACACAGCTCTCGTGCCGATCCTCCCCCTCGGGCCGCCGCTGACGCTCTCGCAGCCGAGAGTCGCCCCCGCGGCGTCGGGCTCGACCTTCACCTCGGCGTCGGGCTGGTCCGCGTCTGCGGCGGCGCGGCGACCGCGGGGGCCGCGGCGGCCGCCGCCGCCGCCGTCGCCGCGGCCGCGGCCGCGGCCGCCGCGGCCGGCGGCGCCTGACGAGGGAGCGGCTCCGGCCTTGGCCTTAGCCTTAGCCATCCTCCTCGACGAAAGAGTGCTAGGTAGTTAGCTGCGCAGCCAGCTTGAGTTTCGCGCCCAAGCGGCTGTGGCAACCCAAGCAGCACTTGCACTTTTTTACCAGCGCAGACGGAGCCCAGTGGCACGACGCGACAGACGAGCAACGGACGACAGACGAACGAAAAAGAGGCGGCGTAGAAGAAGGGGGGGAGGGAGGGGAAGAGGGGGGGGAGGCAGGGGGCGCCCGCGCTGGCGCAGCCCCGCGCTCACCCGAGGGCGCCGCGGCGGCACGGCCGCGGCCGCGGCCGGCGAGGAACCGCGCCTACCTCCGCCCGGCGCCCGGCAGCGGCGGAGATGCCGGCAGCCATCTGGCCCGTCAGCTCGGCGGGGGCTGGGCCAGAGAGCTGGCGCAGCGCGACGTCCAGTCGGCGCTGCAATTGCCGCCGCTCCCCCCCCGTGGGGGCCCACATCAGCGCCGCCAGCTCCTCCTCGGCCGGCCGTCCGCCTGCCCGGACCAGCGCGCTCACCAACGCCATGTGGCGAACGCGAGCTGCCGCCTCCGTGGCCTCCGCCCCGCCCAGCGCGTCCTCCACCGGGCCTGGCCCGGGGGGGGGGGGGGCGGGCGGCTCCGCGGCTTCGGCCAGCCTCAGCGGGGAGCCGGCCGCCTCGACCTCCACCGGGCCTGGCCCGGGAGGGGGGGGCGCATCCAGGCCGAGGGGGCGCGCGTGGGCTGGTTCAGCCTCCGACGCCTCCATCGGGCTGCGCGGCACCTCGACCAGATCGGCGGCTCTGGGAGGGCAGGTCGGCGCGCCCTCTTCGGGCCGAGCCGGCGGGGGAGGCGTGGCAGGGGCAGGGGCCCACCCGCCCCACCGCTGCGGGCAGAGCCGCGCAAGCGCCACCTCGCGCCCAGCCGCGGCCCTGGCCCCAGCAAGATGTTCCTCGGCAGGTGCCTTCGCAGCCGCCGCGCCCACGCCGGGGGGCGGTCCGACCAAGGCGCCGAGCTCGGCCCCCCCGCGGAGGGCAGAGCAGAGCCGCGCCAGCGCCCCCTCGATGCTGGCCGCGACGCCGGCCTCCTGCCCGGGAGGAGCCGCCGGGGCCGCATGCCCGGGAGGAGCCACCTCCACCGGAGCGGCCTCGACCTCGACCGGGCAAGCGGGCCCGGGAGGGAGGGGAGGAACGACGGAACCGAGGGCGTCGTCGATGCTGGCCGCGACGCCGGCCGCATGCCCGGGAGGAGCCACCTCCACCAGAGCATCCTCGACCTCGACCGGGCCAGCGGGCCCAGGGCGGAGGGGGGGGCCGACAGAGCCGCGGGGGCGTTGTCGGCGTTGGCCGCGACGCCGGCCTCCTGCCCGGGAGGGGCCACCTCCACCGGAGCAACCTCGACCTCGACCGGGCCGACGGGCCCAGGAGGGAGGGGGGGGGCGACAGCAGAGCCGAGGGCGTTGTACTCGCCCTCGATGTCGAATTCGCCCTCGCCCACGGGGCAGGCCGCGCCGCCGCCCTGCCACGGGCGAGGGCTGCCTTTGCAGCACTGGCGGCCCGGGGCCTGCGTCGGCCGCTGCCGAGGGGGCGCGGCCACTGCGACCGCGCGGCGCGCTGCCGGCTGCGCCGCGTCATCCGCGTCGCCGTCGTCGACGTCGGCCCGCCGCTCACGGGGGCCACCCGGGCCAAGCCACGACGTGCCAGGGCCGCCCGACTCCGAGCCGGACTGGCCCGCATCCGCTGGCTCCTTCAGGGGGCCCATCGGAGCAGGACGCCCTCGGGGACTGCCTCGGCCTTGTATCCCCGAAGTCCGGCGACCCGCAGGGCCGCCGCGACCAGCTCCGCCCGCTTGCGGCCGCTCCCGCTGCCGCCGCCCCCGCCGTCGCCGGGGGCCCCGGCTACCGGGGCCTGGCTCGAAGCCGGCGGCGACTCCTCCTTCAGGGGGGGGGGTGACTGCGAGCGCAGGTGGAGCCGCAGCGCCTGGGGCGTCGTCCGCGTCCGACGTCGGGGTGTAGTAGCTGTACTCCACGTCCGCCTCCGCACCTGCCTCCGCCTCCTCCCTGAGGAAGCGACGCTGGCACCTCGGGGGAGCGGAGGCCCTGGCTGCTGGCCCGCCCCCGCACCGTGCGCGGCGGCGTCGTGGGCACCCGCCTCGCTGGCGCCGCCATCGCTGGGCCCCCCGGGGGCGAGCGGCTGCGCCTCGAGCTTCGAGGCCCCGAGCGACGGCGCCCCTCCGAAGGGGGGCCAACCCGGCCGCGGAGGCTCCGCGAACGCCGCAGGCGGCCATGCGCTGCCCCCGACGCCTGCTGCGCTCGGCGCCGCCGCCGACGCTCCGCCTTCTGCGGCCGCAGGCTCTGGCGCTGGCGGCCCCGACCGCGCGGCCCAGCGCCCGGGCGCTGGCCCCGCGGCGGCCTTGGGCGGCTCGGGGACCGGCGCCGCGAGCCATCCCCAGCACCACCCCGGGGGGGGCGGTGGCAGCGCTCCGGGGCCTGGAGGGGGATGACGAGGTGGAAGAGGGAGGAGGACGACGAGGTGGAAGAGGGGGAGGAGGAGGAGGTGGAGGAGGAGGAGGCGGGAGGATGACTGGGGAAGACTGTACAAAAAAAGCTGCACAAGTGCAGTTCCATTATTGTGTAGCAACACTTACTTACCCAAACAGCACTTCCATTTACCCAAACAGCACTTGCACGGTTCACGATTTTGCAGCAACACTTGCCTGCCCAGACAGTACTTACACTTACCCAAAACAACACTTGCAATACAATGATGTTTATGCGATTGGTTGGCTTAGCTGTTGATAGTTGGTTATCGTGCGTCTTTATGATTACTTACTAAGTGAGGTGTTCATGCTTTTGTTTGTCTTAGTTGCTTATGCTTCCAACTGTTGGTGTTGCTGCTGTTGGTGTTGCTGCTGTTGTTGTTGTTGTTGTTTACGTCCTTTGCTTTCCAAACCAGTTGAGTGTCTTTCTACGCCAGAGGAGGCCCTGGGAGTCCTGGATGCCCCGGAAGACTGCGCTCGCCGACCCAATTTGTATCGTAAGGCGCGCGTGATGACCAGACGATTACACGTGATCTATATGCCCTACATTGTTTCATGATGCAGTGTAATGCGCATCATAAGTAAAATCATGCACGATGTGTTGCACAAGCTGCGCATCGCCATAGTTCTAAGGGCGCGCGAACATACGCGCACACACACCTCGTGCACGCGCGCAGCATCACAGTTGGAAGCGCGCGTGCTACGACAAACTCAACGTGCGGAGCCTGCGTGCTAGAGGGGTTACCGCGGATGGGCGAAACC